TTGGATGAAAGTAACTCAAAAGTAGTGTAATGCATTACAATTCAGAGAGAGTAATATTGTAATGTAACTAATTACTTTCAAAAGACAGTAACTAGTAATATATAATGTATTACATTTTGGAAGTAACTTGCCCAACACTGGTAATAAAATACTCATTTTCACCTAACATGGAATATACGCCACTAATATAAAATGTATAACCTGCAACTTTATGCTGATAATAGAGGCCATGAAGAAATTGAGAATGTGTAATTAACCAACTTGTGTGGAGACCTGTTTTGGTCAAAGAGTTTTAAATGCTCAAAGAACAGTTCAAAGTTCTAAAGCTTTAATGCAATCCAGAAGCCACCAGTTTTCTCTAAGACAGCAAAATGTAAACTCTGTGAAGAACTACACAAGTGCATACACACACCAGTAATCAAACACTTTATTCACACATCTCCTCAATAATTCCAAAGCAAACAAAATTAAAAAAAAATTTTCATACTAAAATTGTACAGAACAATAAAGCAGTAGCAAGAACAGTGAAGTCACCTCTTTGCACAGGCCTGTATCTCATGAAGTACAGTACATCAGAATCAAGCCAAATGCATCATACCTTTCTGCCATTAATAACTTTAGTTATTAAAGCAGAAGCTAAACCAGCATTTTCAATCTGATACTTTAGAAGTGCTTTTTAAGAAGCCTCTAACTGACTTTTATACACAGACCAAAAGCACCTTTTATGGCTTGGATTTATAACCATCAACTCTCTTCCGTGATTCTTTAAATAGTTGAAAGGCTATGATCTATATACCTCAAAAACAGGAGTGTTTAAGCTCATTCATGAGCTTGGCTCCTCAAGAACATGGTTATGTTTAGGGAAAATATATGACTCCACTAAAAAAAAAAAAAAGCTTCAGTGCATTCAAACACACAGTACACAGTACAAAAGCAGTGAAAGAAAAACATAATGGTGCTCTGTCATAGTCTGGAATTTGTCCTGTGGTTTCCAGTGAGGATTTACAGTAATTTTTACCGTATGAAATAGATCCCATGGTCAAAAAATTATAAACTTTTGCAATAACAAGTAACCAAAGTGAAAAGAAAACCAACCAAATGGAAACACATTTCCTTTCATGTTGTTTCACTTCAAATGTTTCATTAATTATTATCAAGAGTAATGTGCCACAAATGGGTCTCTCCCAGAACACCTTTTTATCTTATAGAAAGCATCATTTTTAAATGTATCTTATTAATAACCTTTATGATTTATCTTTAATAACATAATTCAGAAACATGGCATATAGGTTGTAACAGGCTGAAGAGGTACGCCTCATCAGATCCTTGTAACTTCTTTATACTAACACAACATTCCACAACAAATAGCTCATTTGTAATGTAAAGCAGAGCATATTTGTGAGTTCAATCAATCAATTTTAGTTAATTTATGGAAATTCTGAAATAAAAAAAAAATGTTTTTTTTAAAAAAACATTTAACTGATTACGTTGGTGGAGCATAAGCTTAAAAAATTCATTTCAGTTTCATCAAACATGGGTTCATACTGCAAGTAAAACTTAATTCTAATCAAATTAAGTACTTATAGCAAACTACATCTTTGTGGTGACCCTATTACACAGTCAAGCAGCGTTGATGTCTTTTACTTCCTATAAAGAGATAAAACAGGGGCAGTGTTGCATGTTGATCATGTTATCTTATTATAAATATCTAATTAGCAAATTTAATTTGAAAACTAGTTAGCAAACTTTTACATTTAACAAACACCAAATCAACATTTTAAAGGATAAATAAAGAATAAATGCTATTGGGAAGTTAAATAAAAAGAAAAAAGAAAAAAACAGCAGCACTTCTGAAATAGGAACATGCCTGCTGAACTGAACATCTCTCTTTGGGTTTCAAAACTGTAATAACTGCCCAGCCTCTTCTCATTGGTTGATGTGATTTGGTCACATGGGAAGTAAATGGTCATCCCTTTCCTCTTGCTCCTCCCCAAGAGGTTCAGTAGCCACGCCTCTGTATGTGGGTCGTTCTTCTCTGTTGCCACGGGAACGACAGACAAAATCGCATCCGTCCTGTTACGATAAAAAAAAAAAAATTATATTTGTTTCATAAAAGGGGATAAAAAGACCAAAGCAGAAGATGAACTGAGGCAAATATATATGTAATTATACTTACAGCAGATAAGTTGCCGATCTCTGACCAAAAGGTATAGTTGGGGAACTGTTCAACTCCCTTGGCTCCAACTACCAGTCGCTGATAGAGGAATCCACCAGTGAGATACACAGCCAGGCAGCAGAATACACTATGGACAGCAAACAGGAACATGATTACATATAAAATCTGAGCAAAAGACATTAATGTTTCTCCTTAATCGTCTCTAATGGTGTGATGACCCCTGTGAGAATTTTAAAACGGACATAACTCACATAGTTTCTGCCAATATCATGTTAATCTTGAGTAGCTACAGACTAGAGTAGAGCGCAGCTTTTGCATAACGATCATCTGCAAGCTGTGACATCGACATAAATAAAACAGGAACAAAAACTTTATTGACTTAAATTAACTATATGGCTAATGAATTAATGAACGAAGCATGTTGATGCTGCTCTTGCTCTCGCTCTGATTGATGTGCGCGCACTCTTCCGGGAGACGTGCCCATACAAGGAATCCCGCCATTTATGACGTTATATAGGACTTTCCTAAACTTGTACGAACCCTGAAGGAGTGTATTTGGCAAAGAAACATTTTTTGAGACTTATTTGGTCATTTTTAGTACGAGAATCCAACACTTCAACAGTGTAGATAAGTCAGAAAGCATGAAATAGCATTAGAACTCCCCTTTAAAGCACTCACATAATAAGGAATATGGAGCCGGCACTGACTTTAGATGGGATTACAGGACAGACCGCATTGGAGTCCAGCTCAAACAGGTAATAACAGTCCTGTTGCTTCTGATTGTCCTCCAAAACCACTGAAAATGCATTCTAACAAAACACATGCACACAAAATTAATAATTAATAAGAGCTAAGAAATAATAATGAGTTGAAATGATGATGTCATTCTGGTTATTGTCAGGGTAAAAGCTACTATGCTATCTTGAATACCTGAAATAATTTAGTCCAAGCATGATAAAGCACTAATGCTACTAACAGAATTTTGCATTATTTTCAGCAGATTTTCATCAACAGTATATCAAATAGATGTGGATCACGTGTTGACAGAAATACAACTAATACTTTTGTTATGAGGATCAATGATAACGCTAAACTTATTCTTTTTCAGATCTAAAAAAAATGATTTAAAAATACATAAAAAAATAGCAGATGCATTTTATTTAAATATTGTAGGGGTATAAAGTAAAAAATGCCAAGTGTCATTTCGAAAGCATTAAAAAGTTCATACCGTTGTGCTTGTGCTGCATGAAATCATAATCATGGCTCTTCTTGCCTCTTGTGAACAGTGGCTGTCGTATTTCTCTCCCCCTTCATAGAAGAGCAGAACCCAGTCACCTGCACCAAGAACAAAAGGAGAACTAAGGTCAAAAATGAGTTAACAAGGCTGCCTGTAACACCTGGAAAAAGTTGAACTTTGATTTGTGTTTTAATGCGGGTTGTATTAACAATGTTCTCTTGCAATGCATCCCTGCCAAAATTCAGTAGTCATTATTATAAATTAACGTTGATAACAATTAAAACTGAATTAACTGTTATTTTAATATTAATTCAAAGAGATATCGAAGAATGTAATGGTTTCAGAAAAGTCTACCTGTAGCAAAAAAGCAAATGATAAAACGTCACTTCTAAAGGTCAAGCAATGTAACATACTTCCTCTGATAGCTCGTGTGTTGGTGTAGTTCCCAATTCGGACCAGCTTTCCTCCTTTTTTGTCTTGCTGCACAAGACCTGCATCCTTTATTCCACCAGCATCTCCACACACCTGAAAAATATACGAAAAATCCTTCTCCTTTCCTTCCGTGGTGAAGCTGTTTAGAGTGAATATGAAGACCGTTATTAACATTAACAAGACCAGCACAACCTGCAAACTGAATGAAAGCTAGATTAACTGCAAAAAAAACCTGACTTACGTTTGATTGGTGAGAGGCTCCAGTAAATGGAGCGCATTTTGCTCAGACTTGCTCTGTGAAATCAGCTTGCAGTTGTCTGTGATGAATTCCGCTTGTACTCCAGCAAGTAGTACGTAAAGAGGAGTGATGATTATTCTCAGAGACAGCAACATGACTTTCAGCGGTGACACCTGATGGGAAAAGGGCACTACATTAAAAAAATGGTCAGTGAATTTATCCAATGATTGACTAATGCATGCATCCAAAATATGGGCAGTGTAACAGTAGCCTGACACAAGATATGCATATAATACACATTTCACTATGCACAGAGCATTTTATGATTAGTGAAGGGCACAAATTAGACAAACTGTGTCCTTTTTCCTGGTTAATTCCAATTACTTTTGGCATCTCATAATAAATCACATTTTATAACATTTTGTTTTGCTATTAGTTAGTATAGGGAGTTTTTGAATGGTGCATATCTTTAACACACATGTATATTTCACAAGTAAATCAAAGACTAATTCCCGAGTCGTGTGAAATATTTTTGGTCAAAACTGATAAAGATTTTAACTTAAAAAAATTTGCACTCTGAAACGCCAAAGTCATCAGTGGCTCTTCAATATAATCATATTTGTAAAGACTACAGACAAAATTGTTATGCAAACAGAATTTTATAAAACTCGCTGAAAATGCATCGGCATGTTTACAAATTGTTGGCAAAACTACAAAAGCCTGGTTGTAATGCAAAAAAAAAAAAAAACCGGTGTGATGTTCATTTTATATGACTGAACACACGACAAGACAACACAAAAGTTATACTGCATGGATCCAAGCTGAAGTAAGCAATGGGTAATGAAGAACTTTAGTTAGGAAACCAGATAAACATGCTGTTAGCATAAGCTGTCATCTTTAAAATGCATGAAATTAAAGAAATGCACAAAGTTGATCACAAACGCACCTTTCAGGATTCCTATGACCGTGTTTACTGTAGATAAATAAAAGTAAAGGTCTTAATTAGCTGTCTAGTTGTGTCCACCCAGCCTGGGGATCTTCTCTTTCCCAAACTGTCGCACTGATGTCTTTAAACAACACTTAACGACATAACGTCAAAATGTCCGCTGGTATCGACAATCACACATTGAATAAACCAACTTCTGACTATATTCGCGTTAAAACGTTTGCATTATTGAAAGGATTTAACGGTTTCTGTTCAAACGCGGAAGCGAAACTAAACAGGCGCCACATGTGACTGTGCAATGTGCATAAGGCGGAAGCTGAAGTGCTGCACGTGGACATGGGATATTGAGTTCTGCCTTTAGTTACAGTCTAGTGCTGTAGATCTAGTTCATCGCCAAACAAGACGTGTTTTTCCTGATTAGCCTCAGTCAATTGTCGTGTTCGACGTAGAGTTTATCGTGGAAGTAAAATGCACGACAAAACTGCAGGTTTAGTTGCTGATCAGCAGTTTCTCACTGAGCTGTCTGAACATTCATAGCTTGCTGACCACAGAGCATTTGAAAACCACCAATGCAATAATACATTTTCCCACAGTTTTATATATATATATATTACTGTATATATGTAAAGCATTAGATGCACAAAGAATGTTTTTGTCATGATAACTATTAGATATGTCTGGTCATTCATAGATAATTATAAAATCAAAAAGACCCCACCTGTTTCATTTTAGACGTTTTATCTATTTAAATTATTGTATGTTTAGCTATTGCTAGATATATGCAAAATTTCACAAATCAAGAGTTTACTCTTTTGTTTGACTAAATGATCAGCAGTTTCTTAAGTTTAAGCACCTATTTTCACTGACAAATTGTTGAAAAAGACAAAAGAAAAAACAGATTGTAAGAGTTTTAGGCCCTATTTTGTGCATATTTATTGGAAAATGACAACTGTTTTTCATTCTCAAGCAGAGTTTGGCGAGATTCTTTATATAGTTTAAGTTATGTGTTTTAATTCTGGTTGTCACATGACGTGACAATGTTAATTCTTATATCAGCTTTGTATTAATAACAAAATAATCTAGGTGCGCTAGTTTTTGTGAGATGTGTTTTGTTATTGCATATGTTTTATACAATGTTCTCTTGCAATGAGGTTTTGTGATAGACTACTAGTTAGCTAATTAACTAAGGCCATGATGCTAGCACTTCTTTTCTTCTTTTAGGATCTCAGGATATACTCTATCTTTGTAATTACGTTGGAAATATCTGATTAGTTTATTGCAGTCTTCCCAAATTAGTCCTTTCTGTCATACATTAGAACATGCTTGTAGATGATTGATCATTTCTCCTAACCTTTGTCCAGGACATTTCATTGATAGTGTCAGTTTTTTTTAGATTATTATGTTCTACTTGTTTGCGTTCAGATAACAGCACACTCTGGAGTTAAGTTTGTTCAGGTGGTTCATTATGAGGACAGGAAACTTGGCTATTTATAACAGCAGATACAATACAAAATGATCAATTAAACTCGAAAATAGAAAATGCTTCATATTTCGAAATATGCTTCCAATATTGCTTACTCATCACTTAAAAATGTTTTGATTTTAAATTAAAAGTTTATACCAAAATTGCACAAAACTACTTTGAAAGGCTTTGCACAAAAAGAGCAAGCAATATCTTAAAGGAGCAGATTTACATGTATTGTTCAAGGTGTTTTCCAATTTATCTTTGGTAATGTGCAAATGTGTCATCTGCGCTCCACTGTCTTTTACAGCTTTTTCTGAGAACTTTTGTGTTACGTAAGCTGCAGATGACATTACTGTGTATGGACACACTCATACTTGTTCGCCCCTCCCCCTTTGCTCTCACTCTTTCTCATGTCTTTACCTGAGAAAACAGTCACACCCAGCATCTTCAACCCCACCAATCACAGCACAGATGTGTTCACTTCCTGTTTCTGTGAGAGAGAAGCATGCAGTGCCAGTGAGAGTGAGGTGAGTGAAAGGCTGAATTACTGGAACAAGCTGTAGCGCAATCACTGTGGGTCTACTGAGTTTATGAGAAGTGAAGAAAAGCTGCGTGTGAGCTTGAACAGACGGTAACTTTTGGACTCCTCTTTAAGACAGTGCTGGAGGGGGAAAGTAAAAGGAAAACAGAAACAGAAGCGGGGAGGAAGATAAGTGTCAATCTGTTCAAACTTGTTTGGGAATTTGAGAAGGGCGGGAGGAGGAGGGGACGAGAGAGGGAAACAGAGAGAAAGAGAGAGAGGAACACTGTGAGAATCTTTTTACTTTGCTGAAAACTATTTTTGCTTACATTAACACATTAAGTAGGACAGAGGCAGGCTGGATAATTAAATCAGTGTTTTCAGTAGAGCATTTATCTCACTCAACTTTGGTTCTCTCAATGGGCAAACACTGATATGTGGAATGTCTGAGAGTTGTGCAATTCCTGCTAGCTTCACTTTGTCAATAAAGCAAAGAAAAACTTGGAGAGAGACAGAGAAGCGTTCCCCAAGACACTTCTCAGGTGAGTCCTCTGCATTATTCCCAAAACTTTTCATTCTTTCCTTTTTGATTTAACTTTAGTAAACAAAACAATTCTTGTAAACAAACATGTCCACGTCACAGGCAAATATTGCATCGTCATGCTTGAGAATATATTTCTGTTTAAGCTATTCACCGTAGTCGTTTTCTAATGAATTTGTTCATGTTAATTTGTTGTGCGTCATGATTCACTACATCTTGACATGAGTCAGCTATGTTGAAGACTTGCTTGCTCCTTAATAGTGCTCCCCTAGTGCTTTGGCTCTTCCTGGGCATGAATTACTTTAAATGCCTCTGAACACAAAACAAGAATAGCAGTGGTTGGTTGAACTGCATTCTTGAACTGAACTGAATTTTTGCTGAACTGACAAACAGGCTGTTTTGCATATGAACTGTGTGTATATATATATATATATATACTGTATATATATATATATTATAGTATGTTATAGTATGACAGTTCTGTCATTAATGTTAAGAGTAGTAGATAAATAAAAAAATAAAAGAAAAAAAATGGCAATGTGTATTATGCATATTAACAGTAAATTAGACTGATTTGAAGTGACATGTTTGACAAGAACAGGATATTTCTGTTGTTTCGCTGTAATTTATCTTGTGGAGTATAGTGCAAGAAACACCAAGGTCATGACTTCAATTGTTTGGGAATAAAAATCTGATCAAATGTATACTTTGAATCCATCCAAGTCACTTCAGATAAGCTACTGCCAAATTAATTAATGGTAAACATTTGACTCGACACATTAAGAGAGAGAGAGAGAGAGAGAGAGAGAGAGAGAGAAAGCCCATGTTAGTCGCAACTGTCTAAGCTGCCAAGACATATACCTGACATGTTTCAACAAGATACTCCACAGTTTTAAAGATTTCCCAGAATATGTTTGACAGTTTTCCTCTTTGGAATATGAATTTTATATGGTTGCTTGATTTATTGACTTGGAATTTTGACTTCCCTTATAGGTTCTCTATGTTGCCATGGAAACCAGTCGAATTAATTGGGCCATCCAATACACTGTGCAGATACAGTCCTCTTAAGGTGCACTAGACAGGTTGTCAATCAAGTGCAAACTGTTACCTTGAGGTAATTGGCGAAGGGGACCTAGGTGAAGAAGAGACTTGGAAACACCAAAAGATGGACAGAACAAGAGAAAAAGAAGTGGAACCAGACTCATGTGATGGGATTAGGGAGAGGGAGAGATTTCCTGCAACCAGAAGAAGAGATGGAGAGGTGGACTGGAAAGAAAGACAGAGGTGGAGAAATAGAGATCGACATGCAAACGGAAGCTCATCAGTGTCAGAGCAGGCTGAATATGGAGATCGAGACAATGAGAGGAGAAAAGGGGACACTTTTCCAAGGATGACAAAACCAACCAGAGTGAGAGACAGAAGGATACCAATTCCAGATTATGAAAGAGAACGTCACATGGGAAGACCGACGGACATACTGTATAAAAATGAAAGAGATAAGGAAAGGAAGAGATACAGAGACATGGACATGCAGGGTGAAAGAGAAATTGCAAGATACAGGGAGGAGTTGAGGAGAAATGAAATGAGAAGGCTTGTAAAGGAGGAGCCAGATAGACAGAGGGAACGAGAGAAGGAGTTTGACTCAGGAATGAGAGGAAGAAGGAGAGAAAGTTATCCAGGGGTCAATGACCTTTCAGGCATGAGGGAAAGAGAGACAGACAGAGACAGACATCAACAAAGAGACAGAGAGGGCAGATATTATCCTCGACTCATGGAAAGAGAGACAGAGAGCTTTTCAGATAGGGAAAGGAGAACCGATAGACAGAGAGAGGGAGAGAGATCTAGGAAAAGAGATACAAAAAGCGAAGGAGACAGTGATGGAGACAGGGGTAAGGAAAGGAAGAGAGAAGAAGATGCTAAACATAAACACAAACTCTACAAGAGTGAAGGAGACAGTGATGCAGAGCGAAGGATAGACAGAGTTAGAGCGAGAGACAGACGTAGAGAGAGAGAAGCTGAGAGATGGCGAGACATGGCAATGCCTAGAGAAAGAGATTACCGGGAGAAAGGTTATCATGATCCAAAAGGGGACAATGTGGAACGACTCAGAAAGACAGATAAACCAAGAGACAGAACAAGAGACTCCAAAGAGAAAAGAACAGACAGAGATGCTTACTTATACACAGCTGAAAGAGAAAGGTATAGAGATGGAGAAAGGATAAGAGAGAGGGATAGGTATTCTAAAAGAGAGACTGATGAGAGGGAGAGGCGGAGGAAAGAAAACAGAGAGACCGGGAGAAGTAAGGTGGAGAAGAGTGGACAAAGTAGTGGAGAGCTGATTTCAGGAACTGATATTGAGATTGAACAAAGGAGGGCAATGAGAGAGAACCTTGAGGACAGAGACAGAGAAAACACATATGAGACTGATAAAGAAAGATTGAAGGGAAGAACAGAGGAAGAGCAGGAAGTAAGGAGTACACTGAGAGAAGAAGAGAAGAGTGAAAGCTTTGCTGCTGAGGAAGCAGTTACAAAGAAACCTAAAAACAGGATAAGGAAAATGTGGCTGGAACCTCGTAGTGAGAGAAAAGAATCTTGTTTAAAAGAGGAGTACTCCGAGAGAGAGAGAGCAAGAGAGAGGTACATCCAAAGATACACAGAAAGCATGACAACTGGAAATGAAGAAGAGCTTGAGATAAGGAAAGCAAGCAAGAGCAAAAGTCTTGAGGACAAGTATAGAGAACTTGAGAGGGCCGGGGAGTTCTTGTTGGATGTGGGCAGA